CTCGCCCTAGAAATCTATAAGTGGTTCTCATTCATCGAGTAATAGGTTTCTAAGATATAGTTGTACACCATTAGTCCTTAAGACCCAGACATCACCGTGACTTCACTAGAGGACCGATTGTATCGTTACCTGTCCCTGAGTCCCACCGCGGACCACACCAACGGCCAACGTTCGTGCAATCCGAAATCTAGTGTGAAGTCTGTGTATTGTAGTAGGGGATTCGAGCGCTTGAGTAGTCATGGATGTCCTGTGTGTTCTGACGGTTTATAATCCATGGAATCTCTGGCCAGAGTTGATAGTGGGGTGATTAGGGAAATGTGTTTCCCTAAGTCGCACACGAACGGATTTATAATACCTAGAACGTTCGCACGGTTATTGAACTTTATAAGAGGTCTCGGTGAACCAATGCCTCTAGTTCAATCGGGACATGTGCTGCGAAAGGATCGTACTGTACGCTAACTATATCATAAGGTTCTTGAGGCACTTCACTTGTATCTAGGGAATCATGATGCGTAGTTGCTAGACGCCAATCTTGATTCGTTGGGCACCGACTTGATCGGGGATTAGATAAAATGCGGAATTTAGTGAACTCTCTAAATTGGGAAGTTTCCCGATTTAGCAAGTCCGCTAAAGTGGAAGTTTCCAATTTTGGAAATTGGAAATTTCGAAGAGGCACTCGTATCGACGAGGACTTTGAGCTCGTCACAAATATAATTTTGTTATAATTTTGTGGACGATCGTTTATTAGAAACGAGGCCGACGAGGGAATGGGCTTAATGCATCAGTGGGTCAAGCCCAATGACTTAAGCCCGCTAGGGTTGAAAACCCTAAGTATAAATAGACGTCAAACAAGAATTTGAGATCAGATTTTCAGCACCAAACCCTAGCCGCTCAAGCCCTAGCCGCTCTCCCCTTCGGCTGTTGCTGCCCCGCCGCGCCACCGCCGACCACCGCTGGAAAACCGCCGGTTTTTCTCCTTTTTTTCCTTCGTTATATTCGTGTTGTTATCTAACTCGTTTACATCTAGTGCTATAGTTCGAGTGGGTCGAAAATACGAGGTGAAACCTAATAAGAGAGGAGCTGCTGCCCCGACGAATCCACGCACCGCCGCACGCGCCGCACCGCCACTCACGCGCCGCCGCTGCTGCTGCCACGAGCCGCCGCTGCTGCTGCCATTCATCGCCGTTCGTTGCTTGCTGGATCAGTTTGTTCCAGCCGTGAATTGCAGCCCCGAGGATTGGTAATTTGCAGCTTGTACGTGACTCGTTCCAGGATTTCGATTCGTCGAAATCTCACGCTACAAGAGGTAAATGAACCGAAACTTTCGTAAATTAATTCGAGCATGTTTGTATGAATTATAATTTATGAATGTGAGTAATATGTAATTACGTGTTTCGATTTCATTGAATGATGAACAAGCATGTTTCGTGATTTTCGGTTTTATGTATTTTGCAATTAAATCGATAATTACCATATGTATGGCGGAAGCGTTAAGGTACGTTGACTATGTGCTTAGTTTATGCATGTAATCGAAACTTGTTCTATATAAAATTTTTAAATTCCGCTGTGTATACATGCACGATCCCCAACAGTGGTATCAGAGCCACGGATTTTTTTTAATTTTTTTTTTTTTTCCTCAAAAAAAAAAAATTGGGTGGTTTAATATTAATTAAATATTTTGAATATTTCAGAAAATATAAAAATTTTAATTTTGAAAAATTCGATTTTTTTTTGCTGCTGTTTTTCAGCTGACTGAACAGGTCGAGTCGGACCAGTCCGACCGGTCTGGTCAGCAACAACAAAAAAAAAAAAAATTATATTTATTTGATTTTCTGAGATTAATATTACAATTAATTGATTCTTAATTTTTGAAATTATTTATCAATTAAACCCAATTAGATAATTGATCCATTAATTTATTTTGAATTCAAAGAATAGTGTTGGATTAATTATTTAATTTAATCGTTAAATTAGTTTAATTAATGGAACACAAATTAGATGGCAAATAATTAATGGACTTCATTCTTATTTGAATGGTTTATGAATGATGGAAGTCCGTTAATTATGTTTGCAATTAATCGTATTTATTAATTAATTCATAAGATGAATAATTGTGATTAAGTACGATGATGATCGTATGTCTCTCTTAGGATCCATATGCGTTTCCACATACCTAGAGAACATAGTTGTAGGAATCACAAACGATCATAACTTAAAACTTCCGATGAGCTAATAAGATTTAATGAATAAAATCCCTCATTCTTAATCAAGAATAATTATCAAGCTATAAAGAAAAACCAAATTGTTGAATTTTTTATCTAGTGTTTTTGCTGTTGTTTGTTGATGCGTATTAAAGTCCTAGTGTTGTTGTTCGTGTTTTTAAGAACGTTGTTGCAAATACACTTTTGCGCATGTTTTTTTACATGTACATTTGTGCATGTCCATTTGAGCGAGTGTGTTTGTGCATGTTTGTTGATCTGTATTAATGTCCTCGGATTGTAGTTTGTGTTTTCATGATCCTTTTTGCGAATGCACTTTTGCATGAGTACTTTTGTGGATGCTTTTGTACTCTTACTTGTGTGCGTATCTTTTCTAGCGAGTGTTTTTGTGCACGTTTCTTGATGCGCATTCATGTCCTCGAACTGTAGAACGTATTTTCATGATCGCTTTTGGAATCCAATTTTGACCATGTTCGAGTCTGGATTTGGAAATTTGCCGTTGGACAGAAATTGTAGCTAGCTGAAATAGCTTTCTAATGCCGCCGGAACCTGTTTATTTGGAGTCCGGATGAGAAAGTTATGATCTACTTCGTGGACACTATTAAAGATATTGAAGGATCCTCTCTTCAAATTTGATTTTATTTTCCTAATTGCAACTCTTTTCTTACTCTTAGATCATTTTGGCTTCCTGACACCTAATTTTCGATTTGTACCTATAAGATACAGAATCCACCAATTAAAACAGAGACATAAATGAATGCAAAAAAAATCCACTTAAACATAAACGTAGAGTGTTATTTCTACACTAAACTTTATCTTTTTTGTCTAGTGTTTTTGTTGTTGTTTGTTGATGCGTATTAAAGTACTAGTGTTGTAGTTCGCGTTTTTAAGAACGTTGTTGCGAATGCACTTTTGCGCATGTTTTTTTACATGTACATTTGTGCATGTCCATTTGAGCGAGTGTGTTAGTTCATGTTTGTTGATTTGTATTAATGTCCTAGGATTGTAGTATGTGTTTTCATGATCCTTTTTACAAATGCACTTTTGCGTGAGTAGTTTTGTGGATGCTTTTGTACTTTTACTTATGTGCGTATCTTTTCTAGCGAGTGTTTTTGTCCACGTTTCTTGATGCGCATTCATGTCCTCGAACTGTAACACATATTCTCATGATCGCTTTTGGAATCCAATTTGACCATGTTCGAGTCCGAAATTGGAAATTTGCCGTTAGACATTAATTCTAGCCAGCTGAAATAGCTTTCTAATGTCGCCAGAACCAGTTGATTTGGTGTCCAGATGAGAAAGTTATGATCGACTTCGTGGACACTACAAAAGATGTTGAGGGATCCTCTCTTCAAATTTGATTTTATTTTCCTAATTGCAACTCTTTTCTTACTCTTTGATCATTTTTGCTTCCTGACACCTAATTTTCGATTTGTACCTATAAGATTCCAAATCCACCAATTAAAATAGAGATGTAAATGATTCCAAAAAAAATCCACTTAAACGTAAACGTAGAGTGTTAAGTCTACACTAAACTGTATATTTTTTGTCTAGTGTTCTTGCTGTTTGTTGATGCATATTAAAGTCCTAGTGTTGTAGTTCGTGTTTTGAAGAACGTTGTTGCGAATTCACTTTTGCGCATGTTTTTTTACATGTACGTTTCAGCATGTCCATTTGATCGAGTGTGTTTGCGCATGTTTGTTGCTATGTATTAATGTCCTAGGATTGTGGTTTGTGTTTTCATCATCCTTTTTGCGAATGCACTTTTGCGTGAGTAATTTTGTGCATGCTTTTGTACTTTTACTTATGTGCGTATCTTTTCTAGCGAGTGTTTTTGTGCACGTTTCTTGACGCGCATTCATGTCCTCGAACTGTAGCACGTATTTTCATGATCGCTTTTGGAATCTAATTTTGACCATGTTCGAGTCCGAATTTGGAAATTTGCCGTTAGACATTAATAGTAGCCAGCTGAAATAGCTTTCTAATGCCGCCGGAACAAGTTGATTTGGAGTGTGGGTGAGAAATTTATGCTCAACTTCGTGGTCACTACCAAAGATATTGAGAGATCCTCTCTTCTAATTTGATTTTTTTTTTCCTAATTGCAACTCTTTTCTTACTCTTTGATCATCACTGCTTCTTGGAGACCTAATTACCGATTTGTACCTATAATATACCAAATCCAACAATTAAAACAGAAATATAAATTAATCCAAAAAAAAATCCTTGTAAACGTAGAGTGTTATTTCTACAGTCCACTGTATCTTTTTTATCTAGTGTTTTTGCTGTTGTTTGTTGATGCGTATTAAAGTCCTAGTGTTGTTGTTCGTGTTTTTAAGAACGTTGTTGCGAATGCACTTTTGCGCATGTTTTTTTTACATGTACATTTGTGCATGTCCATTTGAGCGAGTGTGTTTGTGCATGTTTGTTGATTTGTATTAATGTCCTAGGATTGTAGTTTGTGTTTTCATGATCCTTTTTGCGAATGCACTTTTGCATGAGTACTTTTGTGGATGCTTTTGTACTCTTACTTGTGTGCGTATCTTTTCTAGCGAGTGTTTTTGTGCACGTTTCTTGATGCACATTCATGTCCTCGAACTGTAGCACATATTTTCATGATCGCTTTTGGAATCCAATTTTGAGCATGTTCGAGTCCGAATTTCGAAATTTGCCGTTAGACATTTATTCTAGCCAGCTGAAATAGCTTTCTAATGTCGCCGGAACCAGTTGATTTGGTGTCCGGATGAGAAAGTTATGCTCTATTTTGCATTGGAAAGTATGAAGATGAGGTACTGTGTGATGTTGTTCCGATGCAAGCTGGACACTTGTTACTTGGTCGACCGTGGCCATCTGATCGACGGGTCAAGCATGATGGTTTCACCAACAAGTACTCATTTGCGTTCAACTAAAGAACAATCACTCTAGTTCCTTTAACGCCGCAGCAGGTCCATGAGGATCAAGTGAGGTTACAAAAAGAGAGTGATCAAAAGAAAATGATTGAGAGTACAAAAGAAAGAGAGCGTGAGGCTGAGAAAAACAAGTTAGTTATGCCATTTGGGTTAACTAATGCCCCTAGTAATTTCATGCGATTAATGAACCATGTTTTGCGATCTTTCACTGGTAAATTTGTTGTAGTTTACTTTGATTACATTCTTATCTATAACAAAAATCTGGATGATCATGTTGTGCATTTGAAATCTGTTTTACATGCGCTTAGGGAAGAGAAGGTGTATGCTAATTTGCTAAAATGTACATTTTGCATGGATAAGCTTGTCACTGTCTCGAAGGTACACCTTAATCTCTACTCTTAATGTTAAATTACATGGTTTTGAAAAAAAATAAGGAGTTGTATATTCAAGATGCTGATTTTGGTGCTGTTTATCAAGCATGTGAAAAGGGTGCATTTGATAAGTTCTATAGGCATGAGGCATTCTTTTTTAGGGAAGATAAACTTTGCATTGCTATGTGTTCTATACGTGAATTACTTGTGCTTGAATCGCATGGGGGAGGTCTTATGGGTCATTTTGGTTTCGAAAAGACATTACACATGCTGAAAGAACACTTTTATTGGCCACACATAAAGAGAGATGTTGAGATAATTTGTGGTAGGTGTGTTACATGTTGTCAAGCTAAGTCTCATGGTTTATACACACCATTGCCTATTCCCAATGAACCATGGATTGATATTTCTATGGATTTTGTGTTAGGTTTTCCTAGGTCAAAACATTGTAGGGATTGGATCTTTGTTGTCGTTGATAGATTTTCTAAAATGGCGCATTTTATACCATGCCACAAAACTGATGATGCGTAGCATGTTGCTGGTTTGTTCTTTAAAGAAGTTGAGGATCCATTTTTTTGTTTTGAAATTCCAACAAATTTGTACCATTTTTAAGGTAATAACTACCCTTGTGTCGTAATGTAGATTAGAGGAGACCTACACGTATGTCTGATGGGTGATCCAGGAGTTGCAAAAAGTCAACTTCTCAAATATATAATCAGCGTCGCACCGGGAGGTGTGTATACGACTGGGAAAATAAGTAGTGGAGTTGGTCTGACTGCAGTTGTTCAAAAGGATCCAGTGACAAACGAGATGGTCTTGGAAGGAGGAGCTCTGCTAAGAGTCCTTGCACGAGTCCCTCCAATTTTTACTTTTCTTTCACTTAAGGTGAACTTACAAGCATATGTGCAATCATGGGCATATGTGCAATCGATGAGTTTGACATAATGGACGAATCAGATCGCACGTCAATACATGAAGTAATGGATCAGCAAACTGTCAGCATTGCTAAAGGTTGTATCACCACTTCTTTGAATGCACGGACTGCTATACTTGCTGCCGCTAATCCAGCCTGGTACAAAATTCACAAACTCTCGGTTTTCGTTTTGAAATTCAAACACATTCATTTTATCGCAATTTACCTGTTTCAGTTTTTCCTAATGCTAAGTTTGATGACTTTTAATATCTTATTTTTTTTTAAATATGATCTATGGAGAACACCAGCGGAGAATATTAATCTCCCACCTGCGCTTCTGTCAAGGTTTGATCTCTTGTGGTTGATTCTCGACCGAGCAGATATGGATACTGATCTTGAAATGGCTCGCCATGTTCTCCATGTGCACCAGATGAAGGAATCTCCAGAACTCGGGTTTACTCCACTCGAACCTTCTTTTCTTAGGTAAAATTTTACCTCAAAGATTTTACTTTCTGAATAACTTGGTGAATGATTTTGCATGATCTGATAAACTGTTGTCATGAATTGTAGGGCGTATATTTCTGCTGTAAGAAAATTGTCTCCTGTTGTTCCAAGGGAGTTGGAGGAATACATACCAAGTGCGTATTCTAGTATACGGCAGGAAGAGGCGAAATCAAATGCCCCTCACTCTTACACAACAGTCAGAACCCTACTTAGCATTCTTAGGATATCTGCTGTAAGTGCTTATACTAATTAATATCCTATTGACTATTATTCTTCTTTGATGGAGAAGCAATTGATTACTAATCGATATTAATCTTTTTCAGGCTTTGGCAAGACTCAGATTCTCCCACAGAAGACTTGGGGGTGTACATGTTAGGTAATGAGTTTGATCAAAACAAACACAGAGAAGCAGGTAATGAGTTTGATGCTGTTGGCAGTTCAAAAACACAAGTGACCAATCTAAAAAGCAGAATTGAGGGGCTTGAATCTGAGAACAAGATATGGAGCAGAATCTGCAAACTTTGATTGATTCGACCCTAAAAGAAGAGCAGAAGCCGAATGATGTTGATACAGACTTTGAAGATCCACAAGACACAATGCGGGACATCGATACAAAAAAAACAAGTAGTGTGCACAAAAGGACACGCTCAAAACTGAATCATACTGAAAAGAAGAATAGTAAATCAGTTGTTGCCGACAGGACACTGGAAAAACGTAAAGAGCCTGCACTCAACAACAACCAACCAGAGCCGGTCAAGAAAAAAAGCACAAGGTATTTAGGTTGATGAAGAAAAGGTTCGAGCTATCCAAGAATGGCCAAGTCCGACGAGTGTAGCGAATGTTCGAAGTTTTCATGGCCTTGCTGGTTTCTATAGGAGGTTCGTGAAGGATTTTAGCACTATTACAACACCAATGACCGAGGTGATAAGGAATAATGTGGTGTTCAAGTGGGGGGACGAGCAAGAGAAATCATTTCAATTAATTAAGGAGAAGTTAACCAAAGCTCCTTTACTTGCTCCTTCACATGGATCGTGAATCGTTGAAGCACTTGAAGGGACAACACAAGATGAACAAGAGGCATGCCCGATGGATGGAATTCATTGAGTCAATTCCTTATGTCATCAAATACAAGCAAGGTACAGAGTGACGTGGACGAGTCACTTTGGTTAATGCAAATGTCCAAGTTCTCACTGTACTCTGACAACTGTCACAAGTCTGGTCTCGACGCAATTTCTGATATTTATTCTATGCTACGCCACGAAGCTGCAAGATACAACATGGTGGATGTCAGCTATGCCCATGCCTTGAACTGGATTTCAAGAAAGGTACAAAACAACAAATAAATTATATTTAAATAAACATTGAAAAAGTTGTTCAAGTTTGCTAATAATATGGTGATCGATGTATTGCTTTAATTGGCTGGATATCTAATCATCGAGCGAATCTTGTTGTTAACAGGGATACAGTGAAGCCCAGCTGAAAGAGTGCTTGGAGGAATACGCAGCCTTTAATGTGTGGCGGATCCATCCAAATACGTTCGACATCCGTTTCATCGATGCTTAAGACCAAGTTTAAGATTGGGACTGTTAGAATGTCGAATGTGAAAACTTAAGACAAATGATTTATTTAGATGGTTTTTTAACGAACGTCTTAGGCTCGGTTAAAAGCCCCAGTTGTATACTTACTGGTACCGATTGAGCAGAGCTTGTTTCTTCTTATTTAAACCAATATTCATGAAGATTTTCTCATGTCATGTTATAAAACAAAAAAAAAAAAGCAGCTTCTATTGGATCAAGAGTACAAAAGAAAACATGTTTACAAAATGTCATACATTGCAAATAATTTCAGAAGTAGTTTTCAAGAAAACATCCTTGTTGAGTGGTTTGGTTAAGTAACCGTCGACTCGAGCCTGAATCATATTATCGATCTCTTGCCCCTTCTTGTGTGCAGTTAGTGCGATGATTGGTATACGAACACCGTAACTTTCCTCTGCTTTTCTGATTCTTGCCGTTGCTTCGACTCCATTCATCACCGGCATCTGCCAAAATAATACACATATAAAAAATATACAATAAACTGTCGAAGAAATTAGGATTGAAAAAAAAAAGATCGGGGCGTTTTATTTTACCTCACAGTCCATTAGTATACAATCGAAAGGGAATAAAGTTTCCGAAGCTCCAACATGCTTTCCTTCGTCTAGACTCTTGCAGACTACTTTCCAAGCTTCTTCTCCGTTTTCACACGGAAATATACTTGCACCAAGCTGCACACCCACGAAAGTAGCAATCTTTCGACCGATCGGATCATCGTCCGCCACGAGTATTTTCCTCCCCAGCAACGACTTCTTTTTGCTGTTTGCCCCTCCAACTTCCTCAATCTCACACTTTGATCCCTTCACAGAACTCTTATTTGCCCCCCCATCCGAACTAGCAACATCATTTCCACGTCGAATGTTTTCAACACTGTGTGAAGCTTCTCCCTTTCTTGGGGGCGGCAGCCCCCCGAATTCAGGTAAAAGCCCAATAGTCCGATACAAGCAGGACGCGTGAAGCGGCTTCGAAATGACTAAATCCAACGGTGACAGATTATCCTCATCAATCCCTTGTAAACTATCAAGCCAAACAACTCTACTGCAACAGTTTTCACTCAAGTCCCTTCTAAATTCAGCCACAACCCTACTTATCTCCTAAACGGGCCCACACTCGTGTCGATCACAATCAAAACAAAGCCCGAATAACTGGCCCGAGGATTAGGTAAAACGTTGTCCGTTCCTTCTAGAGCACTCAAGGGGAACTCTTTTTTTGAACGTGCACTAGAAGTAGTGGATTTTCCCGAAGAGCTGTAGTAGGATAAATTCAGCTTCCGCTTGATCCTCTTCAAAGATGGAGAGAGTTGTTCGTACTGCTTCACAACGTGTACTTTAATCCCGATTCTGTGCATGAAACCTTGCAAGAGAGTGCTTCTTTCGGGACTATCAATCAAGAGCAGGACTTGTGAGCCTTTATTTTTCAGGCTGTGGGTACGTAAACTAGTACCCGAGTGGTGAAATAAGTCATGGCCAATAGACTCGATATCAGCACTCGGAGAAGAATTATTATCCGTTTCGAAAAATGCATTGAACCGGAAGCAAGTCCCTCTCTCGCCCGCTTCTTTATCCACTATTCCTATCTCCCCGCCAATTAAACGAACCTACATCATCAATCAAGAAAAAGAAAAAAAAATAAGAAAAAAAAATAAAAAAATCAGTTATTACAGTTTGTTTTACCAGAGATTGAACAATGCCTAGCCCCAAACCGGTGCCTTCTTGACTGAGTGCAGTTTCTTTGACTTGTACGTAGTTTTCAAAAACCGATTTTTGCTTCTCTTTCGGAATCCCTTTTCCCGTATCGTTCACCTTAAAAACAAACTCCACGCGGTTATTTGTTTCCCTTTGAGTAGCTTCCGATTCACTATACGCTCTTTGGATCTTGAACAAGCACAAAAGACACCTCATCGAGTTGCTTCTGTTCGAAGTAATAATCCCGCTCTCACGACTCGGGTTTTTAGCCCAAACTCGAACCACCACATGCCCGTTCGACGTAAACTTCACAGTATTGCTCAACAAGTGGCTCAAAATCTACTTCAGCTTCCCTCTATCACCTCTCACACGAGAAAATTTCGTGACCGAGCCATCGAACGGGTCCAAAATTACGTCCACGCCCTTCTTCGTACCCACAAGTGGTACAAATCAAGCACATCTTCCATTAGTTTCTCCAAGTCGAACTCTTCCTCATCGAGCTGCATTTTCCCTGCCTCTATCTTACTCGTATCGAGAGTCGAGTTCAAGATTCCCAAAAGATCCCTCGTGCAAGATTCCATTTGTAGTAGATTCGCAGGTATTTCCGATCTAACTGGGTCCCACTTCGAAACCTCGTTCGGGCATATTTCTATCAGGCCGTTTATCCCTGCTAAAGAAGCACCTATGTCATGGCTTGCGCTTGCAAATGCTAAGCTGTTGTTCATGCTCTTTCGCTCCGATTGTTGAGTAGCTTCCATTTGGCTTATGAGGGCCCCACATAGATGCATCTCTCTTCTCACAGCTTCGACAATTAGGTACACGAATGTCAAGATCGTAATAACCACAACGCCAATCATTAGCATTAACAGAACGAATGCCAATTTTATGTTCTTGTGTACTAAGCTCGAAAGTCCCTCATGTGGCATAGCCAATGCATACACCTTTACAAAAATCGGAAAAAAAAAAATTATGAAAAAATAAATCAAGAATCTCTTTTTTTTGGTTCGAAATGAAACGAATCTTACACAAGGGAGTCCGGCGATGTCGAGTGGCGAACAATTAATCACATACTCTATCCCCGAAAAGCTCAATACATAGTTTCTTGACGTGCTGTCATCATATGATTGGCACGTGAGATTTCCGACTTCGCTAACTCCATAATCATCTTCGCTTAATAACTGAAACGCCACTCGATCGCCAGCTAAGATCATACGAGTGTTTGGAATCCCTTGAGCTAGAACACTCCCATCCCTTTTAGAAGCCAAATAAAAGCTCCCGTCGTAAAATCTTATCTCATTAATCAAGAAATGGATGAGTGATTGCATTGGATAACGTAAAGAAACGACCCCTTTTCCGTACATACTGACGGTACTAAGCAGAAGAATATTCCGAGTATCTCTCCATGAAGTTCCCACCGTTTTTATTACTCGACGCTTCTTGAAAATAGGTCGAGTTTACTACATCAAACGGAGGTGACTTAATTTCTTCACCGTATAGTTTTCCACTGTCACGATTCACAGATTGGATGTACCAAGAGTAGTTCTTCGCATCGGAAAATGTCGAATTTGAGTACATTGCGTAAATTTGATTTTCTTGAGTATAGGAAGCAAAGAATAGGCCGTCTAATCCAACGTAAGAAATCTGCGATAGATACGGTATTGTGGATAACGCTTGAAACAGCGTCGAAGCAACCTGCATTTAATGATCAATAAAAAAATATCCCGAGAAATAAATAAGTTCTCGAAGTCGAATTCGCGCCACTTACTGACCTTCGATTCAATTTTGGAAAATTGGAAATCGTGCTCATCGAGAGACGAGGTAAATATCGAACTAAGTTGATGGTTGATGCATAAATAGGAGAAAACAATGTGGCGGTTTTTTGAATACCGGAAATTAATTCTTGATTAGTTTTTTTGGCGGCAACTTTCACTTCGTTTCCGATTTTAGTAACCCTAATGATCCATAATGGGATCAAGAAACAAGATAGAGAAAGCACCATAAGTACTTGCAGCAAGCAAAATTAGCAATTCATATAATTTTTTTAACTCATTAAAGTTAATCATTTGTACTTTCTTTAAAAAACAACAAAACTGAATTAAACACATACCAGCACCATGAGAGAAAAAATATGACGCAACACGATACACGAGCTTCGTTTCATCTGAAAAAAAAAAAAAAATATAATATAATACGAAAACAATATAATTCTTATGGGATTAAATAAATAAATCAAGATGCTAAAAATGGAGGATTAAATCAAATTGCTGTCAAACATCATTCATTCATGACTGCATGTAAGTATAAGATTCTTCTTTCTTTCTTTCTCAGCAAACATAAAAAATAATAAGAACAATAAATTAATAATATCCAAAATATAATAATTTTTACTGTTCTTCACTGTGTGTATAAGTAATGTTAAAGATTGATAAGTGAAGGGGGAAGAGATGGAGGGAGATAGAAAGTATTTAAATTTTATTTATTTAATATATGTTTAGATTATCTGCAGTTTTAATACATAAACATCTTTTCGAATGGGGCTTTGAATTTTCCTACAATATTATTTGTGTAGATAAAGATATAACAACACTTTTACGTGGGATCTTCTTCTTTAGGAAAACAATGTAGGTTTGGGATTTTATTTGTCAAAAAATTAATTAATATGGGAATTTACCTTAATTTTTTCATTATTCGTACTTCATGCCATCAAAAATATTACATAGTAAAAATCTTCTCTTGAAGGTAAGAAATGTGGAGCATATATAGTTTTTAATGAAAGAAGATGGTGAAGTTTATTATATGTTGCACTCGGTGTATTCATCTAGTAATATTTAATTATACACATTTTTATTTAAAACAAAATGTTTGTGTGTGTGAATCTACGATAATATGATGTTCAGGTGTATTTAACAAAATGTAGCATCTGTAAAACCGAAACCGAAGATAAGTATGGATATGAAGTGATGGAGATAAACGTAATCAACAAGTTTGTTTTTTTTTTCTATTTTCCTTTTAGTTTCTTCTTTTCTTTTACTTCACTAGAGATTAAGTGTATTTATTTCTAACCCTTCTCTACCAAAGAGATATTATTTTACATAATTATTATATTTTATTATTTTCTATTTTTTTAATGATATGCACAAAATGCAAATAACAAATGTATTTTATTACAACAACTAATTTGTATAAATAATATGTACATTATTTATCTACGGCCACTAGATAAATTCGGTAAACTCGTGCGTATCATTTTGATTTTAAACGTGATTTTGACCATTTTCGAGGTTGA